TGTGGATATAAAATATGTGGGTATATACATAATTTTGTATTTATTTATTTTGTCATGTTCATGCAGTGTATATTGCATGGGGGTGGCCCTTTGAGAGCTGTATGCAATGAAATTTCATTTTAATGTATGCCGATTATATAAAAAGAGGCATTTCCAACTGTTTTTAGCACAGTAGAAGATAATAAAATAGAAATAGAATTTTTTATTGCCAAGTGTGATTGGACACACAAGGAATTTTTTTCAGCGCATAAGCTCTCAGTGTACATAACATATACAAGCGATACATCATGTTTATAATCATACATTCATCATGAATTATAATATACAACATTTAAAGATAGTCATAAGATACTAAATAAGCAATCAACATAAATCATACTTAAACTAAATAAACAATATAAATCGTAAAGATACAAGCAACAAAGTTATAGTCATAAGCAGAAAAGGAGACAGGTAATAGGAAGGATGAGAAGAAGAATAGTAATACCATCTTAGGAGATAGTTTGACAGTGTCGTGGGAATTAGTTGTTTAGCACAGTGATGGCATGGGGCAGTGATGGGATTCAAAGAAAAATTACTACCAGTTCTGTAGGTGTGTCTTGGTGGGCAGGGTGTGGCTTGGTGGGCGTGGCAGGATAGGATACTGTAAAATCTCCATTCCTTCCCCATTCCTGGGGGAAAGTTACTGCAAAATCCCATTCCCTCCCCACCCACTAACCTGCTTTCCAGCTCCTTTGCAACCACTGGAGCAAAGTGAAGAAGAGAAGTATGATAAAGCGCTACAAAATGGTATGAGATATGGAGATATGGAGAGGGCTCAGCAGTTAAAGATGCTGAGCTTGTCCACTGGAAAGCTGACAACTCAGGTTCAAGACCTGAGCACTGAATGAGGGGATGAGCTCCAGTTACTTGCTCCAGCTTCTCCCAAGTTGACAGTTTCATTATGAATATATATATTTTCCCTCTAAATCTGCCAAAGCATGATGGTCATTCCAGAGTCAGCAGTGTGTGGCAACAGCCAAAAAACCAACACAATCCTAAATTGCATTAACAGAGGGATACAAACAAGATCAATAAAGGTACTGATACTCCTCCATAAAGCCTTAGTAAGACCATACCTAGAGTACTGCATCCATCCACACCTAGAGTACTGCATCCACACTTTAAAAAGGATGTTGAGACTCTAGAAAAAATGCAGAGAAGAGCAACCAGGATGATGAGGGTACTGGAGGCTAAAACATATGATGAACGGTGGTTGCAGGAACTGGGCATGGCTAGTCTAGTGAAGAGAAGGACCAGGGGTGATATGATAGCAGTCTTCCAATATTTGAGGGGCTGCCAAAGAGAGGAGGGGGTCAAGCTATTTTCCAAGGCACCTGAAGGCCAGACAAGGAATAATAAATGGAAACCAATCAAGGAGAAATTCAACCTGGAAATAAGGATACATTTTCCGATAGTGAGAACCATCAACCCATGGAACAGAAGTTGCCTTCAGAAGTTGTGGGAGCTTCATCATTGGAAGTTTTCAAGACCACACTGGAATGCCAAAAATGGTGCAGGGTCTGCTTGGGCAGGGGATTGGACTCCAACTCTGTTAATCTGTAAGTTAAAGGTAAAGGGGTAACGGTAAAGGTTCCCCTTGCACAGATGTGCTAGTTGTTTCTGGCTCTGGGGGCAGTGCACATATCCATTACAAACCAAAGAGCCAGTTCTGTCCGAAGATGTATCCATGGTCATGTGGCCAGCATGACTAAATGCCTTCGAAGGCGCACAGAATGCTGCTCCCTTCCCACCAAAGGGGTCCCTATTTTTCTATTTGCATTTTTTTACATGCTTTCAAACTGCTAGGTTGGCAGAAGCTGGGACAAGTAATGGGAGCTCATTCCATTACGCAGCGCTGGGGATTCGAACCACTGAACTGCTGATCTCTCTGATCGACAAGCTTAGCATCGTAGCCACTGAGCCATCGTGTCCCTCTTGATCTGTATCTGCATCTAAAACCAACAAGCAGTGAGAAATGGTTCCGAATATGACAATATTACTTTAAAGCAGGGATTCCCAACTCCTGGTCTGAAGCCCAGGGCCTGTTTGGTGTGTGAGGGTTTTTCGTGAAAGTGGCACATGTACATGAAACCATTCCCCACCCTGCCATCGCCACCTCTGCCAGTCTACCAAGCTGGAGAAATTGGTTTAAAGGTACTGCTTTAAAGGTAATGCCAACACCCTGAAATGCACTTCTGTGGAATCAAACATGGTATCAGCATTCCAGAAAACCTCCACTCCAACAAATAATCCCAATACAGACATCCTCTCCAAAGTTCCTTTTATTAGAGTAGTAAACTGGCATATCTGGGAAATCCTGAATCTGAAAGTTCCGGGTTTACTTTCAATAAGTAAAAAATTACAAATCTACCCCCTGTACAACTCATGGCATTACATGCCCCAGTCACCGTCCGTCCCAAATCCTCTCAACCAGATGAAAAATAACATGACCTTGACAGTTGGAAACTGGCAAAAAACAAAGAAAACCTCAGTCACATGACTATGTGGGATGTTGTAACTGGTCATGTGTGTGTGTGTGTGTGTGTGTGTGTGTGTGAATGGCTGTCAAAACTCCAAAAACAGATCAAGGTCAGTTGTAAATTCAAACACTTGTTAAGCAACCAGCCATTAAGCAAGGACCACTTGTATTTGGTTTGCCAGTCACATGGCCACCTAGCCACGTCCATCCCAGTCATATGACTATCTAGCCATGACTTCCACACTGCCACATTCCTGTACCTGGGAAATTGGAAGGGGGGATTTTGTAGAGTGGTTTTAGTTAGACATAATAACTTTGTTCTTTACAGTCAAGGTCATGTTATTCCTGCACCTGGAGGAGGAGTGGTTTAAGGGATGTCTCAAGTTGGAACAGAGGGTGATTTGGGGCATGTGATGGAATGATGGGTGCAGGGGATGGATTTTAATTATTGGAAGAAAACCCGGAACTCTTAGATTCAGTTTTTCCCAGATGTGACAGTATGACAACTCTAATAAAATGAAACTTTGAGAAAATGCCTGTCTGGGAGTTTTGGTGCTGGAGCTTGTTTTCCTGGAATGCTGACACACTCAAACTACCCCAAACAACCCATGCTTCAGTTCAAATTCCATCATAGGGGCTGGTGCTCAGTTTCATGTAGGTCAAATACCCAACTTCACCTTGGTTTTCACACCCATCTGCTCTGTGGTTTACCAACAAGAGAAAAAAAACATGTTTTTTCCATTTCTTGTATGGAAGGCAAGGTGGGCTGGGACAATTGCTTTTCCTTCCAATTATCAGAAAACAGTAGTTATTAATATATCCTCTGTGGGTTTCAAGCCATAAAATCTTACAAGATAAAACCTGGTTTAAAAATAATATCCATGAATTTTCCAGGTGGGGGCAGAACATGTCACCTCACCTTTTCTTGAAAACAGATCCAACTCCTGGTTGATGAGACACAGCTGATCTTTATTTTCTCTTTGGTGACAGCCCAAGCACAGGTAAGAGGAAGCATATTTGATATATTTGCCCTTACGCCATCCAGGAGACACGAATGGGATCTATTATGTTAAAATACTTGTGAGCTCCCAAGTGCTGCCTGCAATTCAGCTTCTGCCCAAACTTTGATTTCTCATCTAGGACAGAAGATGACAAGAATGACTGGGCTGCCTCTATTGCTGCTGCTTTTCTGTCTCCTGTCTCCACCTTCTGCTAAGAGGACGCCAATCTTATGTGTGTTAGCAAATACTGTCAAGATTCCAGAATACTATTCTAAGCCTGGAGATTTCAGTATTGGTGGGAATTTGCTCCTGATAAATATTATGTCATCCTATGTCCCAGACTTTAAAACAAAGTCATCCCAGATTACAAACCGATTTTTGTAAGTTTCACCTAGATGGAAAATGCATATGATTATTTAATTTGTTTGCTCAAAAATGATGTTTGTGATGTCCTAGTGAGTTAAAATAGAATAGAATAGAATTCTTTATTGGCCAAGTGTGTTTGGACACACAAGGAATTTGTTTTGGTGCAAATTCTCTGAGTATTCATAAAAAGAAAGAAAAATAAATACATTTGTCAAGAATCATAGATATAATACTTAATAATAGTCAAAGGGTACAAATAAAAAAATAGTACTAGGAAACATAATAATAAGCATTCAAATCAAATCAAATTACACTAGTAAACAGTCAATTAAAAAATCATAAGGATACAAGCAACCAAGTTACATTCATGCACTCATAAGTGGGAGGAGATGGGTGAAAGGAAGGATGAGAAGATGAATAGTAATAGTAATGCAGACTTAGTAAATAGTTTGACACTGTTAAGGGAATTATTTAACAGAGTGATGGCATTTGGGATCATATTCCCTTTCTCAATAAAGATCCAAGCTTGCAAAATTCTTCCAGAACTCTTCATCTGGGAGATGCTGAAAGAAATAGAGAACAAGGAGGTGAAAGACATAAGAAATTATGCTGGACTAGTGAAGATTAACTTGATATTATCTTGGAAATAAATTCATGGTGGAAAGATAAAATCAAAGCACAATTTATTTCTAATGTAGGATCCTGTGAAAAAAAAAAACGCTAAATAAAACTGAGGTCTGGAATCACTAGTGTCTTCAGAAAATCTACCCTCTTGTCCTTTGGAATGTGAACCAGACTCAATAAAGTGAAAGGAGAGAACAAATTATTTAGGGTGGTAAGAAGGGCAACTGGGAAGGATTACAGCCACTGGAGCAAAATGAAGAAATGATCTGGAATATGGACAGTCAAGCTTTTCTCCCTTCTCACAAAGCCATCCCAATTTAATCAAAGAACATCCTCCCAAACAAACAAACAAACACATAAATAAGTAAAGCCAACCCAATAAAACATAGGACTTGTTTCACCAAAGAATACAAAATATAGCAAGGCAAACATCACCAGCACAACCAACCTTTCCTGTAATCTCCCCATTTCTTTGTCACTATAGAATCATGTGCAAGAATTACCAACAATTCCTGAGTTTGGTGTTTGCAGTCACAGAGGTCAACAAGGATCTGGTTCTCCTGCCCAACATCACCCTGGGCTTCCATATTTATGACAATCACCAGATTGAGAGGACCATTTCCATAACCAGCCTCTCCTTGCTCTCCACACAAGGCCAAATGGTTCCAGGTTACAAATGTGACAAGGAGGACCCCCTGCTCTCTGTCATTGGAGGCCACAACCCCAAAACCTCAAGTCAGATGTCCTCCATCTTCAGCACATTCAAGGTCCCACAGGTAAGGTGGCTCCACTAGATACATTATCAAATAAACAGCACATATAGCAAAATGTGTCAAGGACAGTACATGTGGCATATGTGACTTAGAGAATTAGTTTATTACATTTTTATAGTTTACTAGTCAAGATGGTTTTATATGACTCCAAACGGATCAATAAGGAGATAATTCTAAAATGTTGCCAAGAGGAATTCCTCCCTAAATAATTCATCATAAACATGTACTTACCCTTTCAATGCAGTTTATTATCTGCATCGGGTTGATGCTTTCGTCCCTTATCTACTGATGTGTCACAACCAGGCAAAATGTTCAACTGGTGGATTTTCCTAAAAAGGGAGGAATATTAAGATTCCACTCCAATTGAGTCAATCTGAGTGGTGGGACAACAAACTACACAATGGGGCACCCCAAAATCACCATAGAATTTATTTTGTTGTTGAAAGAAGAATCTTATTTTATGCAGCTCGGTGTTGGCTTTGAGTTCTCTCAGGGAGAGAGAAGAGTTTATCCTTCCTTCTTCCGGATTAATCCAAAGGAATCTCCTCAGTATGTGGGTTTAGTCCAGCTGCTCCTGTATTTCCGGTGGAACTGGGTTGGGCTGGTGGCCCCCGAAGATGACAGGGGAGAACATTTCATCTCAACATTGACGCCAATGCTCCAGGAAAAGGAGATCTGCCTGGCCTTCACTGAAATGTTCGATTTTAATATTAATGCTATTCGAATAGTGAAATTCCATTCTATTTTGAAAAGTTGGCTTAATGTTGAAGTGATCATTTTGTTTGGAGATGCCAGCAGTAGTATAAAAATAATAGCGGTAAAGACTGCTCTTGAAAAATTGAGAAAGACACTATTTCAGACAGTTTGGATTATGTCTTCCCATTGGGAACTTAATGGTGTGGAACCTCAAGTAATTTTGGACAGGATAAAGCCCTTCCATGGGGCTCTGCATTTTAGGGATCAAACGGGTGATGTCTCCGAATTCAGCCATTTCCTTCATTCTTTAGACCCTACAAATCCACAAGGGGATCCGTTTCTTCTGATATGGTGGGAACGGGTCTTTGACTGCAAGATTCACAAACCAGGTGAGATTCCTCCAAAGGTGGGGAAACAATGTACAGGAAAGGAGAATTTGCAGAATCTGCCAACTTACATGTTTGAAATGAGCATGACAGGTGAAAGTTATAATATCTACAATGCCATTTATGCTGTGGCATATGCATTACATGCCATGCATAGCTCAAGAATGCAAACAGCCGTGCTGAGGCTTGAAAAGAAGATCTCAGATCTCCAGTTATGGCAGGTAAGCTCTGAGGCTATTTGTCCATTTTAAAGACCTTTACCGATGCTTAGAAGATTCCCATCTATCATTCATGGCTTTCAGGGAATGATAGAAGCCATGAAGTTTCCTTTGTGGATTTCAGACAATGACTCCAATTTCTGATCTCCCCTTTTCTTCCAGCTACTTCCCTATTTGAAGAATGTGAAATTCAATAACAGTGCTGGAGATGAAGTTTCCTTTTTAGAAAATGGACGGGGATCTGCTGGTTATGATATCCTCAACTGGATTTTCCTCCCCAATTGCTCTTTCATTCCTGTTAAAGTTGGAGAAATTGACCCTGGAGGTCTGGATTTCACCATTAACTCAGATACCATTGTCTGGGCCACTAAGGTGAGTTAGAAGGGAATGTTGAACATTCAAGGAAAGATATATTCTCTCCTGGGGTAGTAGAACATTGCTCTAATTTGAAAAAAAAAAAGACTGTTGATTCAGAAAACTTGGCAATCATTTGGCAAAAAAATAATGTGTGTAAGTCATTTGGATCCTGATTTGTGCCATGGTTGTGATGGGAAATAATTTCTGCTTGAAGCTCAGGATACAATTAAAGCAGGCAACAATCATTTCCATAGATCATTCCTTTTCAGTTGGATACTCATGCTTCCTTGTTTTAGAAAAGGTGTAACTAAATATGTCACAAACCTTTCTTGGCATAGGGAAGTGCCAATTCCAATCTCCAGCATTTCATTGGTGGGTTGGGAATTCTACCTGTCTCAATCCTTCTGGTGCTGCTCTTGGTTCCTCATGGACCCTTGTAAACTATTTCTGATGAAGACATTGTGAAGATAGAAATAAGAATGTAGAAATGAATAAATGGTAGGTATTCATTGCTTAAGGTCATCTCAAGCTTTTTTCTCTTAGAAAGTGCCCTTTGCCAGGTGTGGCAGGAAGAGGTGCCATGCAGGAGAGAGAAGAAGTGTTCCAGAGGGTGAACCGGTTTGCTGCTACAAATGTGACACTTGTCCAGGAGGGACAATTTCTAATCAGACAGGTAAAGCATATTTCAAACATATTTCTCCTACAGCCAAGAAAGCCATTCAGAAGATCAAAATATTACAGGTTTTGTTCTTTTTTGGTAGGATAACCAGCTTCAAAGTATTCATGATTTTCAGCAATGCATTTAGGTTGCTAGGACTAAACTATCCTGCACCCATAAGCTACCTTTCTCACTCCTTAACAATTTAATGTAGAGTAGTTTCAGGGTGCAGTGTTCAGATTCTCTACTAGCAATTGTTAAATAAATATCCTTCTGGGTTCAGTTCCAAGTGGGGAAAAAGATCTGATTTTCTCAATGGCTCTCCCTTGGCATGCAATGAGTGGGTTGTTTATCTAGCTTGCAACACTTTTACAAGGTGTGAAATGCTCTTGGCTTAATGCCCAGAAGTTCAATTAAGCCTATTAAGAGTTTTCCCTTGCTGCTTGTCTTTCTGAGGTTAGAAGGGGCTCTCTGAGCCCCACAGAGTCTTAGCTAGGGGCTCTCTTGAGCCCCTGCAAGCCCCCAGCAGCCCACCCCTGCCTGAAATAACAGAATAACAGAGCTGGAAGGGGCACTTGGTAGGAAGGTAACAGCATTCTTTGCACTTCAGTCATGCCAGCCACATGACCATGGAGACTGGCTCTTCGGCTTTGTAATGGAGATGAGCACTGCTCCCTAGAGCCAGAAATGACTAGCACGCATGTGCAAGGGGAACCTTTACCTTTACCCAGTCCAACCCCCTGATCAAGCAGTAGACCCTATTCTACTCTGGAGAAAAGATTGACTCCCTCTTCTCTATGACAGTCTCTCAAATATTGGTGGGTGTGGCTTGGTGAGCATGGCAGGGGGAGGATACTGTAAAATCTCCATCCCCTCCCCACTCCTGGGGGAAGGTTACTGCAAAATCCCATTCCCTCTCCACCCCATTAACCTGCTTTCCAGCTCCGTTGTCCTGGGCAGGGCAACAAAAGAAGACACAGCTGATCACCTGGGACTCGGGAGGCAGAGAATAGATGGGGGTGGGGCCAGTCAGAGGTGGTATTTGCTGGTTCTCCAAACTACTCAAAATTTCCAGTACTGGAAATCTGGATCTTCTCCAGATCTGGTCAGAACCTGCTGAATACCACCTCTGATCCAGTTTCTGCAAATGTTCATTGTCAGGGTTCCAAGTCCAAAGCAAAGATCACATCTCCATATCCAGGTCCATCAAGAATCTCTTTTATTAGACAAGTCATATTGGCACAATGACCCTGAGGTTGTCCCCACCCAAATCAAAACCAGAATTCTTTCCCCCTTGCTCCAGTGTCTGTCATATGCTCCAGTCAGATCACTGTCCTATCTTCTAGGTGCTCATGCCTCATGCCTCCCTAGCATCTGATGGGAATGTCCTTGGCTCCAAGGAGAAAGAATACTGTTGTGGCTACAATATCCCAATGAACTCTACTGCCCTTATGCTTTCCAACACTTTCACTAGCCCAGAGGTGGGATTCTACTGGTTCTGTCCACCTCTGTAGAACCGGTAGTTCTGAAGAGCAGCAGACAGAGAGCATACATAGAACCGATTCTATGTGTGCTGCTGTTTTGGCCCACCCACCCACCCAGGCTCTTATCTGACCTTTATTTGCCACTTTTTCAACCACAGCTGCTTTGTGTGACACATCTGTGGTTGAAGAAGCAGAAAAAGTATTGTCTGGGCAACTCACCAGGTTGTAAATTGCACTCGCATGACTTGCATTCTTGCACACATGCATGAGAGATTAGAGTAACAGAACTGGTAGTTATACAGGTCGGATTCCATCCCTGCCCCACTGTGGCAGCCCTGAAGGTTTCTGAGATGGCTTCAGGGATGACAGTCATCATATGTTTTATGAACTGACCCCAAACCCCATGTTTGTTGTTCTTCTCATCACTCTAGCTAGATTTCAATCCTTTTTTTGTAGCAGGGGGAACAAAAACTGGAACAGTATTTCAAGTATGATGAACGCAGCATAAAGTGGTACTAACAAGGCTATTGACCTTGGAACTATCTCTCTGTTGATGCAGCCCAGGACTGCATTGGATTCTTTAGCAGATGCAGCACACTGGTCACTCATTGTCCAATAGGACTCTTGGATCTCATTCACTGCTACTGCAGTTCAGCCATGCAACACCTATTTTATAATTGTGCATTTTAAGTGTAAAAGCTTGCTTTCCTTATACAAAACTCTTGATTTCAGATGCAGCTCATTGTGACCCCTGCCCAGAAGAACTATATCCCAACAAAGAGAATGATCATTGCATTGCCAAGAAGATTCACTTCCTTGACTATCAAGAGCCTATGGGATATACATTAGTTTCTTTAGCTCTTTTTCTTTCTGTACTTACAACTGCAGTCCTGGTGATTTTCCGTAAACATCATAACACACCGATTGTCAAGGCCAACAACCGAGATCTCACTTACATCCTTCTGGTCTCCCTCCTGCTCTGCTTCCTCTGCTCCTTCCTTTTCATTGGACGACCTGGGAAGCTCACCTGTCTCTTTCGACAAATTGCCTTTGCCATTCTTTTTGCCCTTGCAGTTTCCTCTGTGTTGGCAAAAACAGTCATGGTAGTTCTGGCCTTCATGGCTACTAAGCCAGGGAACAGGACAAGAAAATTATTAGGAAAACCACTGACTAACTCCATTGTCTTAGGCTGTCCCCTGGTCCAAGCAGTCCTTTGTGCCACCTGGCTGGCAACCTCTCCCCCATTTCCCAACTTGGACTTCCATTCCTTGTTTGGAGAGACCATCTTGGAATGTAAGGAAGGCTCAATTTCAATGTTTTACGCTGTCCTTACCTATCTAGGTTTCCTGGCTCTTGTCAGTTTTACTGTAGCCTTTTTGGCTAGAAAATTGCCTGACAGCTTTAATGAAGCCAAGTTCATTACTTTTAGCATGCTGGTCTTTTGCAGTGTTTGGATCACCTTCCTCCCTACCTACCTGAGCACAAAAGGGAAGTCCATGGTGGCTGTGGAGATCTTCTCCATTTTGGCCTCTGGAGCTGGTCTCTTGACTTGTATCTTTTTCCCCAAATGCTACATTATACTAGTTAGGCCCAATTTGAATTGTCGAGAAAATATAATGAAGCACAAGAATCCCTGATTTATGTATAATTGGGAATTTATTTAAAATTACTTTACTTGTTTTATTTTTGAATTTGATCAATTTCTTAAAAAATATAAAATGAGCAAGGGCCTTATATATTAAATAATTGGAAATCAAATTGTCCCTAACTACAAAGTATCTATTAATTAGCAGGAACCACCTAGCCTTTTATTTTTATTAATTGCAGAGGCAGAAATAAATATTGATATTAAAAATGTGGGCAGTAGTTTGGAGCTGTACATTTTAATAAAAAGAATTTTATTTATTTTGTTTTGTTTATTTTAATAAAAAGAATTTAAAAATTGTTGGATTGTGATTATCAGTCTTTCTAAGCACATTTGTTTCCATTTTATTTATTTGTTTATTAATATCCTGCCTTTATAATTTTTACAAACAACTGGGGTTCTGGTTTGAGCTTCTTCAATGACAGACAGAAATCCATGATCGTGCGCAGTTTCAGTCTGGGCTCGCCGCTGGAGCACCCCGAGCCAGCTGGTTTGGGGGCTAAGCCACCCTGTAGAGGTGGTGAAGAGGGGGGAGACTGCCAGCAGGGTTGAGGAGAACCACATCTCTCCTCCTCAGCTGGTCATTACTCCCTTTCCCAAAGGCGGTTGCAGCAGTGGTCAGAAATGGCCACCTCAAAGAAGAACTTGACCGGAAAAGAATGTGCAAGAGGAAGATAAGAAGTGAAAGTTTTGGCTGACTGGGTCAAATTGCAAAAGTAACAACTAAGGTACCCTGGAATTTAAACTAAAAAAAAATAACATCATTCCCAAAGAAGAGTCTGAAGCAGCAAAGAAAAGTGAAAAGGGAAAGGTTTGGGCTTTTTTTCTTTTCTACCTTTCCCTATACTGACAACTAAGAGACTTAAATAAGAAATAGGGGAAAAAATCCGCTTTGACATCAACAGGCAATTAAGCTGAAAATAAAAAAAAATGTCAAAGGGATAATAAAGATTTCTGGACACTAAAAAATTTTTATAAGCAGGAAAGGAGAGAAAAAGAATAAAAGGGCAGGATCTGGAAAAAAGGGAGGAGACTGCGTGGAATTAAAAGGAACCTACAGTAAAACTTTAACAAGACTTTTAAAAGATACATTTTAACTGAAACTTGGCAACTAAATAGTAGAACCCCAGGAAGAGAAAGTGGGAAAAAAGCAAAAAGAAAAAGCTTGCATGTATTTGGATTACTTGATGATCTTTAGATTCTTGGTTATTGCATTTGAATGACTAAAATTAATCGGGTGGTTCTTTTAAAATTTATACAATGGCACTACTTCTGGATGAATTGAAAATGGAACTTAAAAAGTACAAAGAAGATGCACAAGAAGGGAGGGGTTCTTTTGGCTTGGTTTTTAATTCTTAGAAATGGAGATTTGGCACTATGAGAAACAACAAGAAACATCTGCAAAACAAGAAGACTGGGACAAAGAAGAAGCCATCTTTAATGAACAAGTAATTCTATGTGGGGAAGAAAAAGGAAAGGGTGGAAGAGAATGGAGAATTTAAGACTTAAAAAAAACAACCAAAGAAAAGAAAAATAGTTCAAAAAATAAGTATAATATTGGAAAGCAACAGAAGAGTGGAGTATAGAAGAGAGAAATAGAGGTAGAGAGACAAGGGGGTAAAAGGGGGAGAGAGAAGAAGAGAGGGAAGAAGGAAAGGAAAAGAATTTACAAAGGACGGAAACAAGGTACAGAGAAACAGGGCCTATTTAGAGATAATGGGTGAAAATTTAACTGAAAAAGGGATTCTGTAAAGGTACATAAGATTGTATTGTTGATTTTCAAAGACAATACACAAACAAACAAAACACAAAAACATAGAACATCTTTTCTGAAAGCTGCTTGATCCCGGGTTACAATTCTTCATACAGACACAAATTCAAATTCATATTCATTTTATATACCATTCCATATCTTATTACCACTTTCAATTTTCTATATAACTTCTCACTCCTTTTAACTTTCTTAATTTTAGTTTATTTATCTCATCTCAGTTCAAATCATAATACTTATTATTCTTTGTATGTTCTATTTCCAGCCAGCCATTTATCTTTTCTCTTTAAACAAAATTTCTCCTGTACACTGATTGGAGTATGATGCCTTTAACTCTTTCCCCTGAATTTATAACACTTAATATAATACATGACTTCCATTGGGATTCTGTTTGGCACATTCTAAAATTACCCACTATATATATATTTTTTTAAGAAAAAATTATAAATGTATAATATAATTAAAACAACAATCCATACCAATTCAATTCTATCATTAATATTAATATTCACTTAAATCTTAACATTTTACACATTACTTTTCAGATAAGTATCATACTTCTGTGGGAACACTTATAAACTTTCCATAGTTAATTCCTCCCCACTTCACTTATATTTTATAAAACATTAAGTAATTAAAATGTTCCAGTTCCTTCCTAATTCACTTCTCTTATTTATTTCATATCATTTATTTTATTCACAATTTTATTCTCTAAAATTACACAATGTTTTTTATAAAGAAAAAAGGAAATTATAGGTATATGATGTAATTAAAACAGCTATTAATGCCAATACAGATCTAATCATTAATATTAATATTCATTTATATCTTAAACACTTTACATGTTACTTTTCAGTTAAATATCATACTTTTATGGGAACACTTTCTCCTTTTCTTCCCCAAATAGAGTCACTTGTTCATCAAAGATGGCTTCTTCTTTATGCCAATCATCCTGTTGCGCAGTCAATTTTTCATAAATACAAACCACCATTTCTAAAAATTTAAAAAGAGTGCCAAGAGAATCTTTCCCTTCTTGTTCTTCTTTTTTGTATTTTTGGTATTCAGTTTTCAATTCATCCAGAAGTGATGCCATTGTAGAGAGAAAAAGTTGTCTTTGAAAATCAATAAAACTGGTTTTTTTTTTTTTAAAAAAAAAGATTGTTATATTAGTAATAGAAATAATTTTAGAAAATTGGAAACAATGTATGGTTAAAATGAGGGATAAAATAGTTAGTGTAATCTAGTGAAATGTTTGTTAATAAAATAAATGAAATAAAATAAATGAGAAAATTGAATTAGAAAGGGACGGGAACATTTTAATTAGTTAATGTTTTATAAAATATAAGTGAAGGGGGGAATTAATTATGGAAAGCTTATAACTGTTCCCATAAAAGTATGATATTTAATTGAAAAGTAATGTTAAAGAAGTTAAGATTTTAATGAATATGAACATTAATGATAGAATAGAATTGGAATGAAATGTGTTTTTTTAATTACATATATTTATAATCTTTTTTTTTTAAGAATATAGTGTGTATTTTAAGAATGTACCAAGCAGAATCCGAATGGAAGTTATGTATTATATTGAATGTTGTAACTTTAAGGTATATATTGAAGCCTAAATAAGAGTTAAATGGATAAACTTAAAAGATATAAAGGTGTCATACTCCAATCAGCAACTACAGGAGAAACTTTGTTCAATGAGAAAAGATAATATGAAATTGAAACAGGACAGACAAAAAGTATAAATATAATTATTTGAATTGAGACGAGATAATTAAAATAAAATTGAGAAAATTAAAAGAGGGGAGAAGCTATGTAGAAAATGTAAAACCATAATAAGATATGGAATAAAACATAAAAATGAGCATGAAATTGAATTTGTGTCGGTACAAAGCAATGTAACCCGGGATTACGTTACTTTCAAAAAAGATGTTTTATTTGTATTTTTTTGTGAAAACTCAAAATTTACAAAAAATATTTTTTTTTACAAACAACTGAAGGTAGCAAGTTCCTCCTTCTATTTTCCCCACAACAACAGCCCTGTAAAGTGGGTTGTGCAGAGAGAGAGAGTGACTGGCTCAAAGACACAGTCAGGGTTCCAGCGATTGCCCTAATTAAATCATGAGCCTCGAGCCAAGCTTCAAAAGAATTGAAAAGATTTATTAGGAGCAACATGTCGGCATTAATCTAAATGAAGCCAACTCTGGCATATGTAATTTACAGTCACCTGTGACCCTGCTTCCCCATTCCCCCCTGGGTGCATCATAAATCAGATTCTCCAATGAAGCATGTTAATGAGCTGGGTATCATCAATCACGTTTTTCCAATGAAAGATTTTCACGGGCAGAAGATCCAGTAGCCTAGCTACAATCGTTGTGAGATAAGCGTGGAATGTACTTCTGGTTTTAAACTGTTATACTACTCCTTCATATTTCTCTACCCAGCTTGTTTATAGCAACTAAAAAACAGGCATAGGAATGTTTTACAAGTTGACAACCCAGCTGGTTTTCATTCATAACTTCTAGCAATGAAAGATTCAATGATTCTTGTAGTGTTTTATAAAATTCTGCCGGAAGTTCATCTGGGCCTGGTGCCTTTCCATTGTTTTGCATCTTAAGTTCTTCAGTTAATTCCATCATCGTTATATTGCTTTCTAACATTATTTCAATCTCTTTAGGTATCTGGGGTAGGTTAGCATTCTGTAAATACTGTTTAACTCTTTCATCATCAATATTATCTTGTGTGTATAGTTTCCCATAATAGTCTCGTATAATTTCCTTCTCTTTACTTCCATAGCAAACTTGGCCTTGATCATCTATTAATTGCAATATTTTCCTTGATTCTTTCTCCTTTCTCAATTTATATGCTAACCATTGACCTGGTTTATTTGCATCTTCAAAATAGTTCTGTTTGTGCCTCTGATTTTCTGTGCTAATTCTTCTTTTTCCATTAATCCCATTTTATGTTTAATAATATCCATTTTTTTAACTTAATGTCCTTTTTCTGTGGCATTTTCTGTAGCTCTTTTTCAAGTTCTTTATACTCATCCTCTAATGTCTTAGAGGCTAGTCTTTTCATGGTATTTCTTTTCCTTGTATAGCCTATTATCAAGCCTCTGGCATATGCCTTCATTGTATCCCATACATTCTGAATTGATGTATCTTCTTTTTTATTTTCTCTAAAGAAGAAAGCCAGTTCTTTCTCCATCCTCTGTATGA